GGTAGAGAGAGAAGGAGACAGAGAATCCGAAGTAGGCTCCAGGATCTGAGCTGCCAGCACAGAGCTCCATGCGGGGCTCAAACCCACGAACTATGAGATCATGACCTGAGCCAAAGTCGGACGCTTAACCGACTGAGCCACCCAGGCCCCAGCCCCACTCCCCCCACCAAAAAAGCATTTCTAACAGAACCATATGGTTGTCATAAGAGGAAATTGTCATAAAAGGATTCAAAGAAAATTAAAATTTTTTATTTAGAAGAGTTTTAAATTTATTTTGAGAGAGAGATACAGTGCAAGTGAGGGAGGGGCAGAGAGGGAGGGAGAGAATCTCGAGCAGGCTCCGTGCTGCCCGCGTATAGCCAATGTGGAGCCAATGTGGGGCCAATGTGGGGCATGAAACCACGAGATCAGGACCTGAGCCGAAACCAAGAGTCGACGCTTAACCAACTGAGCCACCCAGACACCCGAAAGAATTAAGATTTTTAACTACTAAGCTCAGTTTTTCTTTTTTTAAAGCACAGGTGGGGTGGGTAGAAAATAATCAACAAAACAGAAACCTACTAGCATTTCCTTTCTTTTCAAGTCTAGCTCTGATCTCCTTTTACTGCAGACAGAAACGCTCCCGGACTCCTGGTGAGGTAGCAGGGCCACAGCACAGGTCTCCCTCCTAGCGATAAAGTCACGTGTATCTCCTGTGCCGGCCAGTGACACACAAGAGACACACTGACTTAGGAACCAGTCTGTTTTGGAGCCCTATCAACATAGTAACTGTATGCACACAAATACCACATTTAACAGTCTTCAATAAATTTTGAAAAAATTAACACAAATTAGAGGAAGAGGACTTCATGCATCTTACCCAAAAACTTTAAGCGGTTTTTTTTGACAGGATATTAATAACCTGAGAAGACGGGTCAGAAGACCCTCCACTAAAATAAAACTACTTAGGCCACACAGAGGAGAGGACAGGTATGTTTACAAAAGGTACCATAGGACGGAACTGTCACCCGTTGGCCAATTACTCAGACCACCAATTTGCGAAAACCCACAAAGAGCTGGTGGTTCTCACACATATTTATGTCGCCACCTTGTGGAAACCAATAAAACATTTCAAAATTTACCCGATGCCGTTAAACAGAAGCGCTAACTTTTTCAACTGCGTGTGTCCCCACATGCACGGTCCCCTCCGCCTTCTCCTCCTCTGGTTCTTCAGAAGGTGGGGTGTCTGCCAACCGCTGCCCAGACCACCACCCCCTGCTGAGAAGCAGGGACAGGGCGGAGAAGGCGCCCGACGCTGAGTGCTCCGCCCCACAAACGCTCTCCTTAAGGCCACGGAGGATTGTCTGAAAGCATTTACTGGAGGCGTTTCTGCTCAGACGGAGACAGCTAGAGCATCATTTCCACCCTTAGGACAAACCCAACAGCACAAAGCAGGACAAACTACCACTTCAGGAGTTCGGGACTGCTGGAATCTATCAAAGGGTTGGGGCTGCTGGGCCACCGAGGCTGCAGACTAAGGACAGGCAGGGAGAGGGACAAGTACTTCCTGGCCTGCGGCAGACGCCGAAACTGCTAAGGATTTAGCTACAACAGTGAACGAGCCGGGAGAGGCCGAGTGAGGGAGCGTGGGGCCCCTAGGAGCTGCAGGTATAGGATGAGGTCACCTGGCCTTGTAGGCTTTTCTTCAAGGACCCCACCAGATGCTCACATAAAAAACCTGGTGAGAGTCCTAAAAAAAAAAAGCCCTTCGTGTGGGCCGGGCAACGGGACCAGCTACGGCTACAAGAGGGGCAGGCAACCCCACCCAGATCCTCCTCTCCAGGGAATGGTCAATGTTTATAGCAGCACTCCCAACAATAGCCAAATTATGGAAAGAGCCCAAATGCCCATCAACTGACGAATGGAGAGAGAAGATGTGGTTTATATATACAA